TCCATAGCTGTTCTGTGCTGTTCTGTATGGGCTCTGGCGCGAACATTCCACCACCCTGTCATCTTTCTCATTCATGGTCCGGTTTCTGGCGCATAAAAAGAGCAAGGGGTTGATTTATTCTGTTGATTGATCGATTTGATTTGGCTGGGTTCATGTTCCTACCGGGTGTTAGTGAGAGGAACTGCGTCGCGAATGTCGGCGCGGCAACTGCTCCATTGATTAGAACATGTTGACAATAAACAAGACTTAATCGGTTGCAACAGTAATATACCTTGTATGAATGAATGGAACAGTTTGATGGTATACCATGGCACTTGTGATTGTTGCCGGAGGCGCATACACGTGACCTACAGGACCGCGGGGGTAAACAAATCCCCCCTCTGCAGCTTCTCCCATTACCTTCAACACATCACCATTACAACTCACCTCACCGACTACACCCAACCAACCCAATCTAACATTTAAGAAATACTATCGATAAGGAACAACAATGCCCTCCCACCAATACACCCACTCCCAATCCCTCCCCCGACACTCCATCCTCCCCGCCTCCACCACCGCCGGCCCTTCCTCCTCCATGGGCAGCTCCTCCATGTCGATGGCCAAGACGCGCCAGTACACCAACCTGCATAATCAGTTGGAGCAGCTGAATGCTAATCTCCGAGACACGGAGAATCTGCTGAGGATGACAGCCGTGCAGGCCGAGGATATGCGTTTCTTGGGCGGGTATGTTGGCGCGTTGTTCATGGGGTCTGCGAAGGTGCTGGGAGAGGAGGGCGTTAAGGGGGATAGTGCTGGTGATGAAGAAAAGAGGGAGGGTTAAGGGAAGGAAGATATTTTGGGGTTCTCGAAAACCTTTCATCATGGACGTGTCATGGATGGGTTGGTACAAGGGCATTGGTAAAGTGAGTGTTTAACCATTTTTTATTGACTCTCTCGTTCTATTTGCTAACTATGAGATTTTCTACGGGTAGTCAGCCATCTCAGCTATCGACTACAAACCCTCCACCGAGAATGATTGCCGGCTCATCAATATTGTGGTGCTCATAGCTGGCGTGAGAGAGTCAGTCAGTCAGCAACATGCACAGGAAACAAACATCCAGAGGGTATATATGGTATACTCACCTCAGCGTGCCCACACCACCCGCTTCCAAGATCAGCGCCGTCTCCGTCAACGGCTTCCCGGTCCACCGCATCGCAAACGCACGCAGGATATGTCCGTGAGCCACGACGAGAACATCGCCCTTGCCCGTGGAAGAGTCGCCGTCAAAACAGGGCTTGTGGAATTTCTCTCTGATCTCTGCGATCACTGCGTCCAGACGCTTGATCACGTCTTCGGGGGATCTAGTGGCATCAATATCAGTTAGCCTTAGCAGTTCAATACAGACCACATAATATATCAACATCAACGAAATAAAAGAAAGAAGAAGGACGTACTCTCCCCCAGGACACCCATCCCTCCAAATATCCCACTCCCCCTCCCCCTTCTCCCTCCTCATTTCCCGAATCTGCTTACTAGTCAACCCCTCATACTCCCCATAATCCCACTCCCTGACGGCCTCCGTAACCTCCACCCTCGCCTCCGTACGTATCGGCTCTTCATCTTCGGACTTCCGCGCCTCATTCCACGGTAATCTCTCCCTGCATCCGATTTCGAGTAGTTCGAGGGTCCGTTGGGCCCGTGCGCGCGGCGATACATACCTACACCATTGCCATTATCAGTAAATCTCACTATCACAAATACAAAAAAGATGGATACAATGGAATGGAATAGAATAGAATATAAGTATGGTAAGGATAGGATAGGATAAAGGAAGACATACACATGAACCAACTTCCTCGGCACAATCAACCGATCATTCCCTACCAACGCCTTCCCCGTGGCTTTTATCCGTTTCTCGCCGTTTTCGGTCAGTGGGAGGTCCGTCGTGCCCGTGTGTCGGCCGTTCAGGGACCAGGAGGTTTCGCCGTGGCGGATTATGAAGCATCGGGGGGTCATTATTCTTCTTCTTATTTCTAGATTTATCCTGGGGGGGGGGAGGAGGGTGTTATTTGGGTGTGTAGGCAGGTGTGTTGTAGGGAATGAGAAGGTGAGTGTGAGGCTTATGGGGGGAATTGATTGACTCAAGTTGGTGGTGAGTAGTGGGGAGAGTAAGTTGTGCTGGTTGGCTGGTTGCGTCATAGGTTTTGGGTCGGTGAGTGAGATGGGATCTTGGGGGTCTTTGCTTGTTCGGTCTTATCGATAGGGTGGGGGGTTTTCGGGTGTGGATGGGCTGTCTATGTTGCAATGGAGGTGTTCGTTTCTTTGTTTGCTTGTAACATGGAGGGGGCATTGTGTTGGTACATATCCCACCACGTAGGATTGTACTGGCTACTGGGCAATCTGAAGCAGCGGTCCTAATCAAAATAATCGCAACATTTGATGATACACTGTCATGCTAAGAGGCACTGGCCCAAGACACATCCCAGGCATCTAGTTATTATCCTTATCATTTAGTACGCTTTTTATCCTCCAGATGTTCCCTTCCCTACCAGTGCCTCCCAGAAAGCGACATGTTAAATAGCAACCGAACCATCACGCCAAAGGAAACAAGGAAACCGAAGACGAAAAACCTGCGATAAAATTCAACTCAATTTCTCCTGCTACATACTGTTCCGGCGAGCACAGGCCCAATCATCTAGGCCATGTAAGTGCTCGAGTCAACACCGCCCTCGGGGTATTCACTAGTACCCATTAGCTTCGTTCACATGCTCAGAAACATCGGTCTGTACTTACGGAAGGGCAACCTCGAAGCGCTTCTCAATATCCTTGAGCACCTTCTCGTCATCCTCGGTGCTGACGAAGGAGATCGACAGACCCTTGGTACCGAAACGACCCGCACGACCGACACGGTGCAGGTAGGAGTCGGCATCAGCCGGCAAGTCGTAGTTGATGGCAAGGTTGATACGCTCAATATCGATACCACGTCCGAACACGTCAGTGGCGACACAGATACGCTTGTTGAATTCCTTGAACTCCTTGTAGCGTTTGATACTACCAACCGTTAGTGCATAGCCTACGACATGGGCAACAAGTATTCTTACCGCTCCTCCTGGCTGACACCAGAGTGCACCGCGATACTGGGGAAGTTGCACTCGCGCAACAGCTTGTCGAGCTCATTCGCACGCAGGGTGCTCTTAACGAAGATGATAACCTGGTTGAACTCCAGGCTGTCCAGGAGCTCGTTCAGCTTGCGGTTCTTCTCCGCTTCGCTGAGCTTGATGTAGTATTGCTGCAGACCGTGCAGCGTAAGCTTCGTGTCGTCATCGACGTAGACCTCGAGAGGGTTCCTCATGAACTTCTTGCACACGGGGCGGATATCCTGAGAAAGAGTGGCACTGAACATCATGACCTGCTTGTCGGCAGGGGTGGCACGGAAAATCTCCTGGACATCACGACGCATGTCTATAACAAATCATCAGTACAACGTAAGATAACCTGACGCAAATAAACTCACCAATCTGGTCCAGCATCTTATCACACTCATCGAGAACGAAAGCCTTGACGTTGCGCAGAGAAAGCTTCTTGTCGCGGACCAAGGCGTTCAGACGACCGGGAGTACCGACAACAATGTTGGGGTAGGACTCCTTGTTGGAGAGCAACTCAACGTCCTTCTGGATGGGGGTACCTCCGTAGAAGACGGCAGTCTTGACATCGGGAAGGTACTTGCTGAAACGAGCGTACTCGTTCTTGATCTGGTATGCCAACTCGCGGGTGTGGCACATAACAAGGATAGAGCACTCGCCAGGAACCGGCTCCAGCTGGTGCAGGGTGGTCAAAACGAAGACCGCGGTCTTTCCGAGACCAGACTTGGCCTGGCAGAGAACATCGACGTTCAGGATAGCGGTAGGAATGCAGACTTGCTGGACTGTAGTGAGGCGGAACCGTATGTTAGACTTGTACTCGACCCATAAGTTTTGAGAAAGAGAAAAAGCAATTCGCGTCGCAGCGTCCGTCCATCCCCGAGGTTTTGAGTCCGAAGGGATGCATTATAGTCCCGTATGTTCTTCCACCAAACAACAAAAGTCAAATGAACTTGCACACAGTCGAAAATTGTGTCAGCTGCAGTAAGACATCTTGTTTCAGAGCTCTTTCCGCAGGCGGCAGGAGGACGGCTGCAATTCAGAGAACGGTGGAGAAGCGTCCGACCCGTGTTCTTCGGAAGCAAACCACAATTCGTCCAGAATCTCTGCAGGCGAACAAACCAATCTGTGGTATCCCCTGAGCATGGTGTTGCCGTAATTCACCAGAGTAAAGTGAAGCAAACAAGCATAAGGCTGTAGATGCACTACTGCCGCAGGGCGACTCGTCTTATGTATGACGCGAAACAGACATCCTCATGCCGCCCGCAAGCGGAGGCGAGATGGGCGCCCCAGAACGACTATGGATTTTCCCCCGCGGAGATGGACGGACGTTGGAACATGGAGCAATGGAGGGAGCTTTGGGAAAGAATACGTGATAGACTAACCCTCCGATGGATGTTCGAAACCGCAATCGGTGATGGCACGTAGGAGTTCCTCTTTGAGCAAAAAGTCGCGGAAACCGGTCGAATGAATACCGACGTAACTACCCTTCTTGTCCGGACGGCCGCCAGAAACCGTCAAGTCGCCCTTCTTAGCCTCTCCGTTAGAGGCGGGGGCAGCGGTGGTGGCCGCCGCGTCAGTGGTCTGAAGCTCCTCGTCGGAGTAGTCGATGAGATCCTCTTCGTGAGACATGGTGATGGATGGTGTTGATAAAGGAAGTATTCGAGAAAACTCTGTTGTTGTCGCGTCTTATCCCAAGGCAATCGAGCCTGGGTAGATGTCGTTAAGATAAAAACGGGGGATGAAAAGCTATGCAAGCCGGATATCTAGTTCGAAGACGATGCGAAATCCTCCTCGTAACTGTTGTGAGATGAATTGAGGATGGGAAAGGTCGAAGCGCGAAGGAAGACGATGGAGATGAAGAGAAGGTTGTCGACGCGCGAAGGGATGGGAGCGGCTGAGCCTCCGAGATCTCAGTCACGTGAATTGAGTCCATTAGTCACCGGCGGCCAACTTCCTTACCGCATCGGGTTAGTGCCGTACGGCTGCTCGAGAAGCTTAGACCCCCGCTGCCTCTATGTGAATTAATTTCTTTTCACTTACCTCAGGTCGATTACATGCCTCTACATCATGGCTAAAGCCAAAGCAAAGGGCAAGAAGGATTCTGCCGGTGGCTCGCAGAGCCACATTCGCGCACGGATCGATTATCTCTACAACGCGGCCACCTTTCTACAATCAATAGGGAAACCATCCCCGCAGCAGCCCTCGGTCAGTCAACAAAATGACCAAATCGATAAAGCAGAGGATGGCGCCAAATTGCAAGGAACGGAGCGCATAGTACCGCAAGTGGTGGGATCTGATGTTTCATCGGCGAATGAGCCGACTAAGCCGCTTAATCCATCGACGACGCAGCGACTGCCTCAACTCTCTCGAGTCTACATGTCGCAAATGCGCGGTGTCTCTCTCAAGTCACAGCTTCGGCTACCCATCGACGTCAAGAGGTCTTTTTGCAAGCGCTGCGACACGTTTCTAATTCCTGGAGTAACCTGCACGCAGGATATCCGAAATGCCAGCCGCGGCCGCAAGAAGCCATGGGCGGATGTTCTAGTTGTCTGTTGTTCTACGTGCGGGACGGAAAAGCGCTTCCCTCAAACCGACAAGCGGAGCAAGAAGTTGTCTGAGCGTCGGAAAGAAGCGCCCAAGGAGGAGCAAAAGGATGAAGTAATGGCGGGTGCTTGACCACATATCACGAATATCCGATATCCCACCTTACATCTGCCCTGCGTCGTCAGTCGCCTACCCTCAATTTGCAGCGGATGCCAAGTAGCCCACCTTCATGAATCGATTGGTCCTGGCTGTTGACCTATCTCTACAGCCTTTGGGACCGGAAACGATATTCACCGGTATGATGGGGGCGAGGGCGAAGAGGCTTCTATGCAGTAAATCAACCTCTGTGTACTCTGGTGTAAACATGTATGGCACCACAACTCGGGAGATGGATGAGCACTGGGCGCGCGTCACACGCAGCAGGTTCGATAGTATTTGGCGCAGGAGATGAAATGTCCGCCCTATATCGACAAGGCCTTGTAGGCGCAGAAATGCATTGAGAAAGTCAACGAAAGAAGATCAATATATTTACATACAACACTTGCCGCTGAAGCTACCACATCCGGGTATCTTCATGGGCATATCAGGCGGTGACTGATCAAAGGGGTACATGCTTCAGGCTGCCTGATGGTTAGGTCGTCAACCGGTATTGACAGAGTCATGGTACAGGTTGCTTTCGGCGGCTGACATTCAATAACAGATTTCAACGAACATAAACGCAGGTGATATCATTGCAAATGGATTCCGCTCAGTCAAAACAAAACAGACAGGATAGATGCTCGTCGGGGAATCGAAACATGGTAGAAGAACACGGCGTCATCAACTTCGTAGAGTGAACACGTGAATCATGAGATGAGAGGGAGTCGCACTCCAAGTAAACGATAAATGCAGAGGTATACCAACGCTATCAACACCTATTGCCCTGGCAATTTAGGGTATTTTTGGAAGCCAATAATAGCCGCGAGGCTGATATCCCGATCTTTAAAAACAGCAGTCCTCTCCAAATACCCAGACGAAGGTAAAAGAGCAAAAAGCAACCCTTGCCTCTGCGATGAGAATCAGAATCAGCATGAAGAACGTTGGGCAGCATAGTTATAATAACACAAGGTCCGCGAGGACACAACTGGTTTATGAACACATATTTGTTCGTCGGTCGAGCATAGTGTGGCTCGTCCGTCATTTTGTGGATAGTTTTTACTTTTGCAATGACCGCCATCGACCTCCGAGGTCGCAGTGAAGGGTAGACGAGTAACGGGGCGTATAAGCAACCGTGGGGTCGTCAACCGATAGAAGAAATTCGAATATAGGGAAGCCTCCGGGACAGAATGACTATGTAATGGCGCTAGGGTAATCCGAGTCGAAAGGAAGGTTTGAGGGTTGAAGTTCAAGAGTATAAGGTGTGTTGGAGTGCGGACAGGAACATATCGCGAGGGTTGGCATCTCAGTGTCTCCGGCGGGCGGCTTGATCCAGGCGTTGATCGAGACCTTCTATACGTCCACGATACGCTTTCACGATTTCTCTAATATGCCCGATCTTCGCAAGCTCATTCTCCAAGTCGTCAATTGAGGCTAAAATAGAACGGGTACGGGCAATCTCGGCATCAGCGTTGCGAATGACGTTGCCGGCGCGATCGTAAGTGCTTTGAATAGATAACTGCATTTGCTCTTCCAGCTACTATGTGTTAGTGTCGGAATATTAGGCGATCATCAAGAGGGGTATTGAAGGGAAGCAAAGCTAGCCAGGCCACTGTAGCAGACAATATCAAAGGGAAAACAACGGAACAACAGAGAAGTGGACCTCCAACGGCATATAGAGAATGATGAAGAAAGCGCAGCACCTACATCATCAAGGCGATTGCGAATCTGTTGTTGCAAGCCATCCAACTGCTGCGATAGCGCCCGTAGGCTCATGGGATCCAGAATTAAACGACCGTGGCTGCTGGCGGCACTGGCGGCGCGCGAACTGGAGTTGCTGGTGCGTCCGGTCCCTCGGCCCCTGGAAACACCATTGGCACCGTGGCCGCCCTGCAGGGCTATCTGTTGTTGTTGCCTCAGAATTTGGATCTCGGAGGAGGTGAGGCCAAGCGAAGTGTCGGGAATCGAGGCTGATACGGACATTTGGTCCCGGCAGAGACATGCTCCTACCGCGACAACAGTCTAGGAAGCGCCGGTCGATCTCGTGGTGGGGAGATTGAACGAACCGAAGTTCATGATGAGAACCGATATGCGCAGGTGAGGGAGATCTCGTGAACGAGCGTCTGAGAGGGGAAGTATAAGAAAGCCGGGAGAAAAGGAGGGAAGAGAGAAATGTCGTAGGTGAAAACAGGTAAGGATAGACACGACCCGTGGGATGAGATGGAGGGAGGGGGGGAGGGTAGAAGGGAAGGAGGAAACAGATCAAGACCCGGTCAATGGGCGGAGTCTTGTCAGTTTCCCCAAGTGGATGATAATCCCGTTGAGAGAAATAATTAAGGTATCATTGGAAGTCAAAGGAGGGAAGCCAGAGAGGGGACAAGGCTCGATAATTGGATCGTTGGTGACAGAGAAAAAGGAACGAAGAAAGTGGCCCCCGTGAGTCGGTCGGGGGTTACACTGGCGGGCGACAATGCTATTGATCTGATCTTCAAGGAGGAGCCTGGCACGAGCGATTCAAGACGAACGGGCCAGTGGTCAGCCTCGGAAGTTGGCTGGAATGTGGAGGAGGAGGAGCGAGCAAAAAAAGTCGCGGGCGAATACAAGGAAGAAAGAGGTTGTACTAGTAAGAGGATAGTGTAGATAGAAAAGATGGAGGTGCGGGAACCCGTTCGGAGGGGAAACAGAAATGACAAGGTTGAACAGGAAGAAGCAACGATGAGAATGATAAGATTCAGGACAGTTGGTGAGTAGACCAGGCCGTGGGGGTCTTTTTATGCACCGTATCTCATTCTATACACGTTCCTGTTCTCCTCATTGATCCTTGGGTACCTGAATCTTGGAGAGGAGGTACTTGTGTTGGTGTAGTAGCAGCAGTCGGGGGTGACCTTCTATACCGAACAATATCCTGACCGACACGGGAAAGATTGGCTGATGCGATATAGATACTTCCCTTGACTTGCAATCGCATTGACAATCAACTCAGGATATCGTATTACACCAATCGATCAATCCATTTATTAGCGAAAGTCAACCAGGATCATCCGATTGTTGGACGAACGGCAGTGTTGAAAAGAAAGGGAGCGTGACCCCCAAACAGGCAAGGAACTCTCCCAACTTCGCCCGCCCGCAATTTTGACGGCATCGCGTCCTTCTCCAAACGCTCTTCTCCCACTCCACCGTCCTCCTCTCTCGGCACCCAATCATCTTGTTACCACCTTCATATATCCTACTCAAATCCTTCTACCGAGGCGACTCTTAATCTCCAATCAATTTTCCCTCAAGCCCTATCTGTGCTCTGCGTCCGTACAGCTGACAAAAGCACCTCACCAACCATCTCGTCCGAATTGCCGCACCAAGCGCTTCTTCAACCGCCATCGACGACGTTGGCATCCACACACACACACACCCCATACTTCAGGCCGACTACTGTGCCTCCTCGTTATTCGGCAAAAGGAAAGAGTAAGACTCGTTGCGCTGCCCAACCCGTGAGGCTTGAGCCTTGCGCCCTAGGTTGTCGTGACCTTGATATTATTGGTCTTGGGTCAAGGTTCCGCAGCTACAGTCGGCTTCGCGAATCCGCTGCGCCCGTGGTTGGCTTTCCCATGCAGCTTGGTTAGCTACTAGCTTGTGAGCACCTTTCTTTCTTCCTCCCCATAGCTTAGTGTGCTGCAGGAGCTCCCTAATGGCCATACAGCCTCCGGAGCTCCCTAATGGCCATACAGCCTCCGGAGCTCGTCATACCCGAGCCTGCCCCCCTCATCCCCGACAATTCGAGAGCTAGATTACGAAGAACTACATTGATACGTGAGATTGGATTTGACGGACTGACTTTAAGAAATCAAACCATCCAGTACCCACATAGTGCCTGAACAGACAGCCGGAATAATACCCATCCCCGTGGAGTAATTGACGCCCTACCCATCCACCTCATACCTCAACTTCACCCTCCCCAACCCATCACCCACCATGCCCAAAGACAAAGAACGCAGCTTAAACCCGGCGGCGGCGCAACGCAAACTCGACAAACAAAAAAGTCTCAAGAAAGGCAAAGCCGAAGCGCAAGCCCGTCGAAACGAGAAATTAGCGCGTCGCAACCCCGAGCGCATCCAACGACAAATCAACGACCTCAAAGCATTCGAAGAATCAGGACAAAAGCTACGACCCCGCGATCAGGAGCTTCTGGAAGCCCTGGAACGTGATCTGCGCGCCGTGCAGAAGGCCAGAGAAGCGTTGGGCGATAAGGCACCCAAATTCGACAACTTTGAATCTAGACGAGGCGGTCAGCACCGTGGGCGCGGGGATGCTGCAGTCTTAGGCAAACGCAGGCGAGATGGCGGCGACGGCAACCGGTTTAGGCAAGATGGTGATGACGGGAGTAGTAGTAGCGACGAGACAGATGAGGAGGTGAGAAGGATACCCATGCCGAGGGATACGCCTCCGCCTATCCCGCGACAGTATCGGAAAGGAGGGCCAGGAGGAGAGGCTGCAGGTGGTGGAGGTCGGGGCCCGCACGCTCTTCCGGCGAAACCGCCCGTCGTTGAGGCGAAGACGGTGTACGAGGCCAAGCCGGAGATCAGGAATCTCCGACAAGAGGCGATCAATAAGTTCGTTCCTGCAGCAGTCAGGGTTAAACAGGAAGCTATACGGGGACAAGGCAAGCTCTTGGAACCAGAGGAGATGGATCGGCTGGAGCAAGCAGGGTATAATGCTGGACCTGCAGAAGGCGAGGAGAGAGCTTCGTCAGCTGCACCAGCTGCTGATGATGAGGATGCTCAACGCAGACTCGAAGAGGAGGAGAGGCGGTTCAATCAGGAGCTTCGGTCTGTGCAGATCGAAGAGGTGGAGGATGAGGAAGCATAATGATCAATCACTTCTTCTTCTTCTTCTTCTTCCACCATGACCTGACTCGTGACCCGTCACCCCATGATCAGGATTTTACGAGGCGTTAGTCGGATCTCAAATCAATGTAACTATAACTCGATGCGATACGAAAAAAAATTAAACATCAAAATTTCATCACCCGTCCATTGACAGTTGAATTTCCAAACAAGCTATTTTTGGTCACGAGTTAACTTCGGACATATGCACCAATTTGAATTATTGGAGTGAGATGACAAGAATCAAAGCAAAGCCTGCCATTGCAGAACTTAAGAGAGAAAACCCAATTGGTATGTACACAGGAGCCCTTCCCATACCATATGTAGCCCATGATTCACCAAATAAACACCAACCGTGAAACACCATTAGAATGGGGGTGGAAAGGAAATGTGAGGTTCAAAAGAGTGTGGCAGAGGATATCTAGGGAAAGGCCGTGGTAAAAGGCTCGAATCATCAATAGCTGAATCAGAATCCCGTCGAATCACCAATGTGTCTTTCAGTAGAAGTAATCCAAACGGGGGATGTCAAATGTAATATCTGTACAAGTCGAGAAGTGAAGTGAAGGTCAAACAGCTGAAGATCAAACAGCAGGGGCATCACGGCATTAGAGAACAAAGGAAAGTGAAGATCTTGGTGAGATGGGATTAACGACGATGCGGCGCAACAAAATGCATCCACGTCCCATGACTGGCATGGCCAACGTTGGTCTTTGAGATAATCCACCAGCCGTAACTCCGGAATATGTTTCGACTATTAATAGTAGATATGGTGAGGTGAGGAAAAGTCCTCAAGGGAGATACCCAAAAGCCTACTGCAGCTACTCCTGTGGATCAACCAGCAAGAAGCACGCAGTTACTATGTGTATGAGAAATGGTGGCAATATCTGAATGTCGCCCGGGTGAAAAGCGCGGTTGGAATCACCTCAGGTTGCGGATAACTTTTCTGCCTCGGGCCAAGAAGGGACTAGGCATCTCGTCCCTCTCGGGATCCCAAACAGCTGGAGAATCGCGCTCTGTCGGCTTCAATCCGGTGCGGGGATCACTCGCACACCGCTTGATTTCGTCGATGGGACGGCCGCCAGCACGCGCCTGTGCTAATTCAACCAAGGTTCGACCGCCCATGTTGCGTTGCATGACGGCTTTGTACATCTCCTCCCCGCCTCCGTTCGCCTTTGAGGCTAGTTGCTTGATGCCTGTCTTGCGCGTGGGTGAGCCAGCATCGGCAGCCAGATTTGCTGATGACGGGATCTTGGACAAACGTCGGTGAGGCGATCGCGATTTGGCTTCCCTCTGCTGGTTGTCGCCAGATCCACCAGATGACATCTGCGGTAGTCTTGACCCATTGGTGGGAAAGATGGGAGGCTGGGTGCTCAGCTTCTGCATGAAAGCAGCGGTGTTCTGACGGAGAAGGGGCCTGGGCGGAGCCTTGAAGGGATCAGGCTTGACCTTGGGGCGTGTTGGAGAAGGTAGATCGGGTATGTCATCTTCATCATCAGAGTAAGCCAGGGTAGGTTCCCACTTCGTGCGGTTTTTCTCGGCCTCCGCGAAGATGTTCTTGCCGGAATGGGTCCCAGATGTCCGACGCGGGGATAAAGAGAGTGATGCAATGGAGATAGGGGAAGGCTCGGCCATCTGGACATCCATAGGCGATTCGACCACGGTTTTTGAGCGGTTGAAGGGGGTGCGAGTTTCCTTCCGTTGTGCCTTGCTTGCAGCAGGTGATTCCAGCGATAGATTGCTGATGTCAGTACCAGAAGGCTGTTCGGTGTCGTTGTTGCTCATGGAGAGCCGGGAGTCGTCGCTAGACTCCTCGCGAACAACCATATTTCGCTTTTGCTTCTCTACCTCAATTGCAACTCGCTCCTGAACTTCGCACTCAAATCTCTTGCGGAGCTTTTCTATCTCGTTCTGCACTTGACGATCGATTTCAAGTCTGGCTTTCACTTCCCACTCGCGGCGCACCGTATTCTCAAGCTCGACTTTCATTTGTTGTTTTTCTTTCTCGAGTTTTGCGTAGGCCTGCTCAATGTCCCGAACCTTTTGCAAGGCGCTCTCTTCACGCTTGCGGAGTGTCCTGGACAAGTCGGTAATTTCCTTCTCTTTGCGCATCAAGCGGATGATCGGCAAATTGATGAGGGCAGCAGTATCGGGACGGTGATCCGGGTTAACTCGCAGACAGTTTGCGATGACGTTCTTCAGCTCCGGCGAGTAGAAGTCGGGTAGAGGAGCAAATTTCCCTTCACGGATTCGCTGCACAAGTTGGATATGGGTTCTGGCATTGAAAGGCGGCTCCCGCTGACAGAGCTCGTACATGATGCAGCCGACCGCCCAAATATCGGAGCGCAAGGTGTACTTCTCGGCCGCGCATATTTCGGGGGACATGTAGAATGGTGTTCCGACATATGTAGAGGCGAAATCGTGCGAGTTCATCAGTTTGGACAGGCCAAAGTCACCCAGTTTGACCGTGTTGTCGCTTCCGAGGAAGATGTTCTCCGGCTTAAGGTCACGATGAAGGATAGTCATCTGGGCTTGCTTTCCTTTGAGACCTGAAGGCTTGGGTGCAGGACCCAGAATGTTTGACCCGACATCGACGGGGTCCGAGCCGTAGTGACAACGGTACAGAGCCGTCACCAACTGCGAGAGGATGCGCCACACAAATTCCTCTTCCGCGTACTTGTTCGTCTTTTTGAGGTTTTTAATTACCATACTCAGATCGCCACCGCCGCAGTACTCCATGTAGAGATACAAGTCCTGGGACGCCTTGAGGTGTTCGCGATGGTAGTAGGCGACGATGTTTGGGTGTCTGAGAGAGCTTAAGATGTTGAACTCGGCCGTGAGCTGCTCTCGCTCTTTCTGGGACATCTTGATGTAATTGATTTCCTTTCGGCATAGGATCTGTATCATTACGTGCGTAAGCAAAAGCCATAATGTAACGGGGACTCGTTGACTTACAAAGCCATCTGTCTTCCGCCGAACTTTGCGAATGATCCCGAAGGAACCGCAACCTAAATACAAGCTTGTTAGCCCAGTGTATAGTGGTAGAATGCATATATCCAGCGAGAGTCCAATTACCGATCTTCTCTAGCACCTCATACTTATCAGCCTCCGCCAATGCAATTGCCATTGTGGCTATTGGGTGAATCCGGCCGCTGATAAGGAGGTAGAGGATGGAGGTAAAGTCGGAAGGAGATGTGAAAGGAGAGAGGAGGGGTGTCCTATTGCATTTATGGACCGAGGCTGTGTGACTGGAACCTGCTGGGTTAGTAGACGACGTGGTGGGAGTGGCACATGTAGTTGAGTTGTAGATTCAAGAAGTAGACATGCAAGAAGGTAGAAACGCTGGATGTTTGGGTGCAGGGCTGTTGCTAAGCAACGCATCCTGCCAAAGCCCTTTGCTGCATGCAGCAGGCGGTCGGATAGTAGGCGGTAAGCACTGTTGCATCACGGATGACTGGATCACTGGTGCCATCACTTCACAGGAATGCACTGGCCTCATCTGCATGGAATATCGGATAATTTTGGTGGCTATATTGTTGGACCAAGTCGTTCACCACAAGATCTAGCGATGATATATCTGCAAGGAGAGTAAATATTCGATGGATATTTGTCTACCATATCCTTCCAAGGGAGGCTCTCCTTTCGAAAGTGGCAACTGCGGCCCCACGTGATCTCGGCTTATCGATAAGATGATGGCATCGGCAGCCATTCGAGTCCCGCCTTTCGGACTTTCGGCATCTGTCAACGTTCGCCTCCAGGACACTGTGACGGCATCGCCATTATGACGGAAGAACCGAAGGTCCTCCGGAAGGACCAGCTCGAGGTCAGCTTGCACAATGAGAAGAAACTGATTAAGGAGGGGGCAATCAAAGACGACAATCCTCTGGACCTTAGCGAACCGTTTCGCGAGCTATGCAATGCTTGTCGTAAGGGGGATCTCAAAGTTTGTCAAGAGAAGATCACAGAGGGAGTCAATATCAACGCCCGTGATCCCTATGACTACACCCCCTTGATTCTGGTAAGTGGACTCGCTGTGGAAACTATGGGAATAGTCCGCCTTGCTGACTGAACCGTGCAATAGGCGAGTCTCTGCGGCCATTACGAAGTTGTGCAGCTGCTCCTCGAGTCCGGTGCTCTATGCGAGCGTGACACTTTTCAAGGCGAGAGGTACGTTACTATCGAAATGCTTCCACTTCATAGATATCGATTGCTCACAATTGACTATCTATAGATGTCTATATAATGCATTGAACGACCGTATACGGAACCTGTTATTGGAGTATGATTATTCGAAATCGACGGATCCACTTCAGCCTCTAGCCGCGCATATCACTTCTCTCCTTACTCGTGAAACTCCGATAACGTCAGACATTGTTGTCACGGCAGCTGATGAATCACTACACCTTCACAAGTTTATTTTGGCTGCACGGTCGCCGTACTTTCATCGAAAGTTGGAGTCTGCCCCTGATACGTCAACATGGAGACTTCCAAATACGATTCCACCAGAGGCTTTTGGAACAGCAATCAAATATCTTTATTTCGGAGAAGCCCCTCGGGACTTGAGAAGCGGCCCCGGCACGGGATTTACGGAATCGGAAGTTTTCGCGGGCATCGACAAGATAGCCAAGCATCTAGAGATCAATACCCTTGTGGATAGTATACTCGACAGTGGAGATAGGAGGCTTGCCAGACAGAGACGCACCATGGAAGTTGCGAAAGGACGAGACCAACTAGAGGAGTGGTTCCGGGCGAATGTGCTCAAGCACAAAGTGACGGTAGAAACAGCAAAGGCAGACGATATCAAGTGGGACAGGGACAATGCCATTTATGCAGATGTTCTGCTCCGAGCGGATGAACTTCCTGAGGACGACGAGGATATTGTGGACGCATCTGAGCCGACTGAGGCCGATCACGGCCGCTCCAACGGCTCTGGCAAACGCGAACCGATGTCTACTCTGTTCCCTTGTCATCGGGCAATGCTTCTGCGATCGGAGTTCTTTCAGACCATGTTTGCCTCCTCGTTCCGGGAAGCCCACATGAAGGATCACCTCAACGTCATCAGCGTGGACTGCTCCCCGGATGTCCTGGAGATTGTACTGACCTTCCTTTATACGGAGCGGGCTGACTTCCCGCTCGATATTGCGGTCGATGTTCTCTTCGCATCGGACATGCTGTTTATTGAAAAGCTCAAAACAAAGGCAGCCATTGTCATCAGTACACTGGGTAGTGGCAACATGTCACAGGCGGAAGCTGCCAGGACACGCGGGACCAAGGAAGAGGATGATCTAGATATTTATGCCATCATTAAGGCTGCGTGGTTGACCCGTGTTCAGCGACTCGAAGAGTTTGCTGCACGATACCTCGCGTACCGGTTGGAAGCTCACATTGACTCGCCCGAGTTTGCAGAACTTATCCAAGAGTCGGCGTCCCGCATCCAGTCCCGACAGGAAACGGACTCCATCGAACTGTTGGATGATATTCGCTTTTACCTGGGTGAGCGATTCAGGTTGCGATTCGATGACGCCGGTATCGATGAAATGATGGAGCCTACGCAGCCGGTGGCGGATGGTGCTGAGGTCAACGGAGACGTTGAGAAGGTCACAGAGGGTGTGGAGACAATCCAACTTTCGAAGGAAGGCTCTGGAGATAGAACGAGCGTGACTGTTCCGCCAGTACAGGCCGCTTTGAAGGGACAGGAGCAGCCACTCATCCGTACACTGGATGGTGAGGTCGCGCTCGACGAGTTCGACCAAGATGCGATTAACTATCAGATCCTGATGGAGAAGCTCGACAGGATCCTAGAGAACTTGAACCTTGACGCCTAGAGCCTGGCAGTGAGCCAGATGAACTGACGATTGATGACTTCTACAGGCGATATATATTGGACAGTATATAGTACACATATATAGAAGAACTGGATACGTTGCATGAATGACATTTGGACAGTTTCTACATGGCTCGATGAGCTATGTCCCAGTTTATGGGGATACATGACGCTGCAACAACATACAAACATTGCGATCTTAACAGAACAATGAAGCGGTTCTCACATGCATAGCACCAGACTGCCTAAGCTTCAGGCCTACCCCTATCATTGACATGTCGTTAGTAGTGCCCTCGACACTACAAGCACACCACGCAACCCATCCGTGACCCCCTTACAGGGGTTACTCAATCCATCCTCTGATACCATCCCACCCTCCATCCGTCCGAGCAGTCGTAGTCTGCACAAGATGCATCCTAACATACCCGACAATCCAAAATAAAGTTAATTACCATACAGCCTAGTATATCCAGTACCTTCTCCGATACCGCGCATGGCTTCCAGACCAGGGAGGACAGAAATATCGCGGTAGGCACAGACATCGACACATGGATACATGAACCAGGATGCCAATCCTCCCAGACACACCACGCCACCGGTCCGTAGATAATTACCCTCTCGACTAGAATCACGCCCCGAGCCGCAGAGGTCAATGCTAGAGAGAACTATCTGCCTACGTACTTTTAGGGGGGGCGAAAGGATAGCGCAGTAGGATCATGTCATGTAAATGAAACTTCGAGACTAAGACGAGAGATACTTCGGCGGTTAGAAACTTGGACGAAGCGAGTGAGTCTGTGCTTGAATTTTACCACACTATTACTTATTTTACCTCCATACAAACCATACACACAGTGATGCAAAAATACAGACCAAGGAACATACAGGAGAGGGGATGGCGTGGATTGAAATGGAATTTGAAAAGAATTATCATCAATCATCATACAAAAATAATATACCAATGATCGTAGAGGGGGGAACAAAAGCATGCGCCTACATACTAGCTACTAGGATGTAAGAAGCATTGCCATCCAGACTGACTAACTGTAATTGAACGAACCCGAATCCGATCGAGATTGACTTCGTTCTGGACTTATTCGATGAGTAATAGGAGGATGGGAATGCTTCACACTTGCTTTCTTTTGTTCTATTTTTTTGTTTTTTTGCTTTCCCCCAAGTGCAGTGGTCATAAGTATGTAGACACTCACTCTCCGAGTCCGCCCCATGTTTGGGGTCCAGTTAAGATGCAAGCCAAGGTAAATATATGTATAAGAGGCGATGTTATTCTTGGAATAATGTGATGAGATTGTCTAAACCGCATATTCAGCATGTAGCTTGTATCTGTGTATGTATGTATGTATGTATGTATGTGTGTAGGTATTGTCTTATGTACTTGGATAGTATGGCAGTGGGAGGGAATCAGCTGGTAATAGAAACCTCCTCCGTACCTGACCTCGTCACATCCACTTTCGCTTCGCTTCACCAACTAAACTACAACCTCACCCACCACTACTAGTCATGAATAGAATCCCTCTACAATTACAGTTACACGCTTCCGGCAATTTGGCATTTGAAATGCCGGCCGCATGGAAAAACAAGAACAGCAGGATTCTCGGTGAGCAACAGGCTGCATGGCAAAGAGGGAGATCATCGTGATCTCCCGCATCCCACGCAGGTTTGGATGGGTCCTGCGTGGTTTTTCCGACTGGAGAGAGAGAGGGAAAAAAGAGGAATGGGGTTGGAAATTGGGCCGGGATGATGGATGACTGACCCTGCAGGTTGGAAATGAATCACGAATGGGAGTAAAGGTAAATTGATTGATCATCATCATCATCAAGCAAGCAATCAGCCAACCAACAGAAAGGCTGAATATTGACTTCATAGCAAATGCAATATAGTAGGTCCTGCCATTTCTCGACCTCATCCTCCTAACTCTACTGTCAGACCAGGACTGTCATCTAACAGGCTGTTACTCTTAGAGGTCTTAGTGGATGCTCGGGATGATCAGGACAGAAAAGACTTCAGAACACACAGACACTAAAGCTCCATCCCGCAGCCGAGCCAGCCAGTCAGCGACATCTGCTGCAGGTGGGAAATCGCCAACGCGAGATGGGATGCTGATCAACCGGACTGATTGGTGATCCGAGCCCTTCTTTTTTCTCCTGGGGCTGTTCTTTGCGACGGTCGGGCATTTCCGTTGCGGATCATCTGGCTGGCTGGCGGTCGGGGTTTTTACGTGCCAATCAGTCGGGCTGCGCAACAACAGGGTTCAGGATTATCGTCCATGTTGGGCGTCAAGCTGCTGAGTGCTGATGCTGGCTGGCTGGCTAGCAAGCTGCCTGGCTGACGCTGGCTTCAAAGTTTGAGGGTCTGCAGGAAGGCCACCTACTGGTGGAGAGGAGAAAGATGGAGGATTGCTCTCCAACTCCAGTGGATCGTGGGATAGATGAATAGTACGAAAGGGATTGCAGTTGCGCCCATTCCAACCCGCGCCTCGATGCGGCCCGGTTTGCCACGACCAAAGGCAGCTTCTTTTCCTCCCCCTGCAGTCTACGCGGGACTTAACTTGGTACTGGATATACCTGGTTGACTCCCGTGAACCCTCTCCAATCATTCTTCTCGAACTTCCCAATATGATCGACACCGCCATGGCCTCGATCGGGAGTGCGGGGATACAGCACTGATTGGTGCAATATTCGACGAGCAACGCGCCGTTGAGCGATCTCCAGCATCATCGCATCATCGCGTGCGTTTGCTGCGTGGAAAAACGGGAAACAAAGCATTGCAACAAAGACTGCTTTGAAGCAATGAATTTTACTACACCGTCTCCGTCATCCACGGAGTCGCCGACATTGGATGGGGTCCATTCGGATCCCCAAGTGGAGGCGGGATTTCCTCCCCTGAGGGGCTCCAGCTTTTCTCCTCCATTGACATCTCGACTTGCTTCAAGCGACCCTCCACTCGCTGGACACCGTGTACTCCCGTAGGATCACGCCAGCGCTAGTCTCTCTGTATGGTAAATCATGAGGGCACGGTAGGATGCTCGCCAGCAACCCGCCACCACATTTAGCCCATTATTGTTCGTTTCCCCGCCGCCGCCCAACGTGGCCAAACCCGCCTCTCAGGCATCGCCATCGGCTGCCATATCCCTGTCTGCTATCCTGCCAGCTTATCACCTTTTCCCTGTCGACGGATGATCGGTTCTGTGGCATGCTGATCGGCTACGATGTGGAAGCCCTAAGGTCAATCCTGCTCCATCTTTGCATTCCTTCTGCCCAGGGAGGGGGGGTTTTCCACCGTCCGACACTTGACTGGATTCTATCCTGCCGCCGATGCTAGCCATGGCGCCACCTAGATCCTCTTAGCTGGGAATGCTAGCCAAGGCCCTGATGACCTCGATTCCGGTTTCTCGGGTCCGTCTAGGATGTGCTATTCTGTGAAAGACTTCCTCTTTGGGGTAGTTTACGCCGCTCTGGGCGCTGTCCTAGTCTACCAAGTGTGTTTCTTGTTGCCACACTGGCGGAAATGACCCCCCATTACATGGACACCTCCTACGCCATCAAGACAAGGTTATCCAAGTCCAACGGCCCCCAAGCCCATCGATCCGATAAGCGAAGGATTTAGCACGAGGGAAAAGGAGTGGGAAAACGGCGGAGCCGAGCTTCAGTAGTCGGGCCCCCGATTGATTGCTATCCCTCTTGGTATACTGCTCCGACACTATGGAACGGTCTGCCCACGAGCAGAGACGCGCGTAAGCAACCAGCCCTGCCCCCTGCCCCCTCAGCCCCAGCACATAATATGAATCGCCGAGGATATTGGCTCGGTGTTGTACGGCGATGACACCGTTACTCTGTGGGGGTGGTTGCCGTGTTGGGCTTATCCAGTTATCCGTCCTATTACCTCCGACCTCACAGCCACACCCATTGCTATCTTTTCAGGCCACACGGACCCTGAGCCAATGCAGGAAACCCGGTCGATCAAGGACAGAGCGTGATTTCGTGCAGAAAGCGCCGTATAGTATACCGAGTATAGCCGCCGTAGTTACTCCGGGATCGAAGATGTACCTGCGGCCTGGACTACAAGGAAGGCAAGTATCTGCGGAGTAAGTCGATACGGGATATGCGCGCAGGCTTCATCTATCAAATCAAGAGGCAGTATATCCAGCTGCGGCGTGTCTCATGTCTCAACTTTCGTTCGCTGCAGCGGAGTTGGGAGATCGCCCGGATGCTAAACATTCATCCAACCATCCATTCTGCAAGTGCCGGCCCCAGAAAAACGAGCGGTCAGGAGAGGCTGAAACCCGGTCTGCGTGTCAAGTCACATCTTCCATGCTGCTCTGACTAAATGAGTCACTTCAGGCAGACCACTACTTACATTGTGTGAATGTGATCGCTACGGCGCTCGCGTAAATCAGCCACTCCTTGTTGGTGCATTCTGCAGATGAACTCGAACTCCAAGATTTGAGGCGCCTGCAGGTGAGTGATCTGTCTGCCAGTGAGTGGCAGCGAGCGGATGGATCTTGTCATCTGACATGAATTAGTCTTGTGATGTGTAGATGCATGATATCATGGCGGATCAGTCTCGATGATCAGTCAGACACACATCAGACGCCATTTTTGAGGCGAGCTGTGCTGCTGCTGCTGATGTAGCTGTAGCTGTAGCTGTAGACTATAGTTAATCCGCAGATACATCGAAGCGCCAGATGCCAGACACCCTACAGCCAGGAATAACGATCTACACCATACAGAGAGTCATGGACGCCTAGTGCTGACCGAAATGCTGCCCTCAAGCATCATCCTTCCCTCATGCTGCACTAGTTTAGAATCCCGGAACCGCTTCGGTGACATTCCGAGCTGCCCTTAATTCCAGGCAGATAGATTCTTCTTCCTATTCCAACTACCTGTATTGCAAAATGCTTGCATATATTAATACAATCAAATATCAAAACAAACATATGCCAACTACATGAATACCTTGATCTCATATTAAAAGAAAGAAAAACCTAAACATCTGAATAATACACACAGACCAAAACAATACCATACACCCAGCCAAAGACAGCCGACAGGAAGGATGATTGATTCGCTCCACATAATCCCGACACTAAGTTGCCGTTAGTGGCCTATAATCTCGGGCATCGGACTTGTTCTGGAGATGTTCTGGGTCCGCACTAGTCTGCTCTAGGTATGGGCGGCCCCGCCTGCCACGCAGCAGATCTGTAGATTTGTTACATGAAATACAGTTACTGTTTCGCTGATACTGGTATTTTGGAGATGAGTGTGAGTGATTATCACTAATTTATTTTACTTTGTACTTACTTGATAGAACTAGCAGGGATAATTGATGGCGAGGATTTTTTCGAATGGAGTTTTCTGGAAATTTAGAAAGGAAGGAGGGATATTACTCAGTATGTTAGTTGGTTTGAGTGCCTTATAAATTAAGTTATGTAGTTGGTGGGTGAGTGAGTGGGAAATATATTGCGGAGTAGAGTATACCGACACATGACGATATCATGGGGTGATAGTTATATGTTCCTGACTCTTATCTGCATTCTAGTACTTATAGATCATCGTGTTATTGTTCGTTAGGAAGTAAATAGTCTGATTAACTGGGTTTTCTACTTAGTCAAGTCAGGACTCATCCCACGTCTTACCACATTATACTACTTCATATCCGTATATTCCCAATATATCCACCACAAAACATAAACCCCATCAATCGATCAATGCAACTAAATCACTCAGCTGTAGTAGACTAAATTCAAATGTGACCACCGCGGAGAAATATATATCAGCACGATATCCAATAATATTCCCCCTTCCAGCAGAATTAAGTTTTGATTGACATGTGTTCAGATGTCATTACTTAATACCTCTGGACTAATGTAGTCCGTGGAGTGGGATGCAGAGGAGAGAGCCTACTTCTGGTTCGATGGTTGCATGGTAAGGTGGATTCTGCATGCATGTAACTACTCCGTACAAAGTGTATTCGATAGGGGTTTCCCTGTTGAGGGCTTGGTTGATTTGTTATTATGTTGTGTTAGTAAGTGGGATGTGGTGATAGTACTACTAGTAGTTATGTGTTGAAGGCTGGGTTAGTACTTATCTGTATACTAGCCTGGCAGGCAATATTTTAATGGGAGTAGTACTTATACTGTAAGAGCATTCTCAAAGATACTCTGTCTTGATTTCTGCAATTGTTGCAGTGGTATATGTATATTCATGAGAAGCAATTGCTCAACACATACTATACTGCTACTAAGAACTGGAAATATATATATACTGAGAGTGTAATGAGTGCTACCACTACTACGACACAGCGTATACCTAGACACTACGTCACTCCAATACGACATGCATAATCTATAGTACTAATCAGATGGTAGTATGCTATAACCCAGTTCTACTCTGGCAAGTAATACCCTGTGAATACTACTACAAAGCACATTGTACAGACCCAACCAACAATCCATTGACCCCATCACTGCCACCATCACCCAATCAGACTACTTGAAGGAGAATCCTAAGTCGAAGGAATCCAACTGTTTGCCACAAAGGGAGCGAGTGCCCTGCTTCCGCCACTCCAGTGCTTACATACAATATGGGCCGATGGCTTGACAGCATCCTAGTAGAAGGAATGGGTGAAGTCAGGTGCTCTACAGCCCTGATGAGGCTTCAAGTAGGAAGTAAGCGTAAGATAATTGAGACAAGTGCTAAACAGGTCTGCCTTCATTGACCTTACCAGAACTACCAACAAGGATTCCAACAACCACGCCAGAGTAAAGCGAGAAGACAACCACAATGAGCAGACCACCTAACCAAGCATCTAACCCGTTATCCCTCCCACTCCAGCATAACAACCAAATGAACTCAGTGACAAGAACCACACCCCCCAAAATTCTAGAACCCATCGAACCCATCGAACCCATCAACCATGTGCTTTTCCATCCACCGTTCGCCTTACCACCCAAAGGAACACCACCACCGGATCCCTCCATCCACCCCCCCTTCATTTCCGAACCCTGACTGAACCGACTCATGGCTAATCCATCCATCCTTCCACGCTTAGCCGAGAGAAAACACACCATCCATCTATCTCCAACACACACTATTCAATTTACATCTCGCATGCCCGCCCATAAACAGTATAGTACAAACTCCACCCTCGGGACAGACAGACAGACAGAACAGACAGAACAGACAGATCTAACTAAGAATCTACCAAGTGGACATACATAGTACTTAGTTGTCTCATCTCGTCTCACCCAATTTATTTTTTGTTTAGGTAACCATGAATTATTATATCCCGTTTCCCGTTTTTCCCGGGATGTGGGCTTCCACGTTCTCAGCTTGCCCCACTTCGGATATGAAGATGTAAGGTGAAGTAAGTACTATACAAGAGAAGAGACATGGTGGGAAAAAAAAAGTGGGTATATACATGACTAGCTAGTTAATAAACTAGTTAGTAAGAAAGAAAGAAAGAAAGAAAGGAAGATGGTTACCTAAACCTGCTCTCTCTCTCTCTCTCTCTCTCTCGCGTACTGGACTCCACTGCACGCACCTATGCAACGCACACACACACGCACACACGCACAAACACGCGATGATATCTAAGTAGGGTGGGTCTTTCTTCCCTCGTGTCTGTCTGAGAGTTTGTCCGATGTTCAATCTCCGGGTGACAACTAACTAACTAACTAGTCTAGTTTGCTACCAACTAAATGATTAGGTGATGTACTTGGGATGAGATGAGATGGGAATTGTACCGAGGTTCGTTTCATTGATGGATGGATGGATCGATCAGCCTCGTGTATATTGCACACTGTCTTAGATGACTACTTGTCTTTTATACTGAGTAAGTAAGTAAGTAAGTAGATGAAGTATACACCACCCACCCACATAGAAATAGAATAAGAAAGGAAACTCGGACACGAGCTGCACAACATGCACGCTCCTGAATGTGTGACTCCCGTGAACTTTGTCCTACATACCGTACCATCTTCCATCTCCAACAAACTACGTACCATGTATCTAGCCATCGTAGAACTAGAGGGAAAGAATGAATCGACCATCTAACTAACTACTAACAACCTAGTCTCCAAACGCAATGTACATGAACCAGGATTAATGATCCCCCCCCCCCCCCTCTTCCTTCTGGGTCGCCAAAACATCGGCTAAGCCAAAACGCATGACATGACTGGGACCCATCGATATCGAACCTAAGTAGTTTAGCTGGGATAAATGTGTAAATGAGCACACGCCAACTTACTAACCTAACCAAGTGGTCCTATATCTAACTATGTATTTATCTAGGCAGATATATTAATTCGGAGTGGACTAACTAACT